GCAAAGGTTGCAGTGAGCCGAGATCACACCATTGCACTCCAGCCTGGGTCTCAGAAGGAGACTCTGTCTCAAAAAAAAAAAAAAATTGTTTTGTTTGATATAAAACTAGCTACTCCTGCTCACTTTGGGTGTTCATTTGCATGAAACGCCTTTTTCCACCCCTTTACTTCAAGTTTATGTGAGTCTTTATGTGTTAGGTGAGTCTCCTGAAGGCAGCAGATGGTTGGTGAGTTCTTATCCATTCTGCGGTTCTGTATCTTTTAAGTGGGGCATTTAGGCCATTTACATTGTTAGTACTGAAATGTGGTGTACCGTTGCATTCATCATGCTCTTTGTTGCATGTGTACTTTGTTTTATGTTTTTGCTTTTTAACTTGTAGTTTTGTTTTATAGGTCCTATGTGATTTATGCTTTAAAGAGGTTCTCTTTTGATGTGTCTCCAGCATTTACTTCAAGATTTAGAGCTCCTTTTAGCAGTTCTTGTAGTGGTAGCTTGGTAATGGCAAATTCTCTCAGCATTTGTTTGTCTGAAAACGACTGTATCTTTCCTTCATAAGTGATGCTTAGTTTCACCGGATACAAAATTCTTGGTTGGTAATTGTTTTGTTTGAGGAGGCTGAAGATAGGTCCCCAGTCCCTTCTTGGTTTTAGGGTTTCTGCTGAGAAATATGCTGTTCATCTAATAGGTTTTCCTTTATAGGTTAGCTGGTTGCTGTCTCAGTTCTTAAGACTTTTTCTTTCATCTTAACTTTGGATTATCTGATGACAATGTGCTTAGGTGAGGATCTGCTTGCGATGAATTTCCCAGGTGTTCTTTGTGCTTCTTGTATTTGGCTATCTAGGTCTCTTACAAGGCCAGGGAAGTTTTCCTCAATGACTCCCCCACATACATTTTCCAGACTTTTAGAATTTTCTTCTTCCACAAGTACACCAATTATCATTTAACATAATCCCAGACTTCTTGGAGGCTTTGCTCATATTTTCTTATTTGTTCATATTTTCTTATTCTTTTTTCTTTTTTTCTTGTTTATTTATTTATTTTGAGACGAAGTCTCGCTCTGTCACCCAGGCTGGAGTGCAGTGGCCGGATCTCAGCTCACTGCAAGCTCCACCTCCCGGGTTTACACCATTCTCCTGCCTCAGCCTCACGAGTAGCTGGGACTACAGGTGCCTGCGACCTCACCCAGCTAGTTTTTTGTATTTTTTTTAGTAGAGACGGGGTTTCACCATGTTAGTCAGGATGCTCTCGATCTCCTGACCTCGTGATCTGCCCGTCTCGGCCTCCCAAAGTGCTGGGATTACAGGCTTGAGCCACCGCGCCCGGCCTTTAATTTATTTTTTATTATACTTTAAGTTCTAGGGCACATGCGCACAACGTGCAGGTTTGTTACTTTTTTGTCTTTGTTGGATTGGATTAATTTGAAGACCTTGTCTTCGAGTTCTGAATTTCTTT